CTCAAGTATGGTCACTGGGCCGCCGCCCTATCAAGAGGCTCAACGGCGATTTGTTCTCCACTACCTCCAAGGCGAAGTGTTTCGTCTTGAGCATGAGTCGGTAGTTGTTCATCGTTCGATGGGCTTCGCTGTGGATGGCCTGTTGCGTCGATGAGCTGGCGACCTTCCTTGAGAGTCTCACCTGGGCTCAGGACAGCCTTGCCATCTCCACCAGCCTGTCGGCGCCACTTCTTTGACGCCACCACCTGAGGATTCGAGGGGGCTGGCGATGTATGGCCGCGACGCCGTCTGGGAGACAACAGGAGATGCCTACTGTCGCCTGCTCATGACTAGCAGACGCCAGCAGCAGCATCGAGGGCTCTGGATAGATACGGCCAGGGTCTTCCCCTATGAGGCCTGCATGCAAGGAACCGGGGAACCGATGCCGGTATTCGGCCTCGCCCTGCTCACGTCTTGACCGCCCTCCACATCTCTGCCAGAGCCTTCGCTCTTCGACGGCAGCTTCGTCCAGCGTCCGCGGCAATAAGCGCAAGGCTGCTCCTCCGAATCCCGTTCGACCGGTGACTCGATTGGGCTGGTGGCGGAAGTACACGCGTGATGATTGTGACAAGGAGTCGCGGCACCCTGCCGACGAGTCTTGCTGCGCATTTCGATGTGCCGCTATTACCGCCCTTGCGAACTGTCGTTCACCACGGAGCTCATGCGCTGCAGGGATATAGTTCGGCGCTGTGCAACCGCGGGCGTCAGCGGTCCAGGCGTGCATCAGGTATTTGATTGGAATTTTGTGGTTGCATCGCTTCCCTCATCTTTCCCGCACCCGTGCCGATTCGTTCCAGGTGCATTGGGCTAGTTTCAGGGGATGTGGGTTTTCGGTTGACGCCTGATTTCGAGAACATCGTCCCAACGTCGCCTTTCTCCGAGGACTTGGGGATCATCGATATAAGCTTGCGGGACAGCTTATGGACGCAACAATTTCTTCTCCCCACCCCATCCTTCCCTAATAGTTCCCATGCTGGGCCAGAGTTCATCAGATCTTGGGTGAGGCCTCTGGGTTGCTGCGCCCAAATTTGATCTGACGCAGCAAGTCTGTAGCATGTCCTTGTGCGCTGCCTGGCCACAGCGTTCCTGAGGGACGATAGGAACAACGAGTGCGGGGGTGGGGGTTGGGGCGCGCCAGTATTTGCCGATCGCTAGACCAGGCGATGCCACATACAGTCGAAACTACCATTTGGTAGTATGTCAGGCGTAGCCCCATACGGGCAATCGCGAATATTCAGAGCCCCGCAGGAGGAGCTCCAGACCACAGTAGGAGCCCACGTCGAAGCAGAGTATCTGGTAGAAGTTGCGTTGATTCATGCTTGTGGCTCCAGGAGGAGCCCCGTACGGCGCTGTGGACCTGTTCTTTCCCGCAAGCCGAGCCGATCCGATCCGGCCTCCTGCGTCCTTCCTCCTCCCTCCTGCCTGCTCCGTCCTGCCTCCCACCTCCCCGCCTTACGAGGGTCGAAGCAAACTGCACACTGTAAGCGCCAACTCTTTGAGGTCCGCGCAGATTTCCGAGGTCGGCGCCGGACCCAGGCAGTCCTCGCGGACATCCAGGAGTTTATGCTTGTGCAGTTTGCTGCCCCCGATCCTGCCGCAGCCCGCCGGCGGACGGCTGGGGCGGAAGGGAGCCCTTCTGCTCCCTCGTCCCTCCTCCTCCCTCCTCCCTCCTCCTCCCTCCCTGCTCCCCACCCTCCCTCCTGCTCCTCCCTCCTCCTCCATTTTCCCTCCCTCCTCCTGCTCCCTCGTCCCTCCTCCTCACTCCTCCCCTCTCCCTCCTCTCTCCCTCCTCCTCCCCCTCCCCTCCTCCTCCCTCCTCCTCCTCCCTCCTCCCTCCTCCTCCCTCTTCCGCCTCCCTCCTCCATCCTCCTCCTCCCTCCTCCTTCCGCCTCCCTCCTCCTCCCTCCTCCTTCCTCCTCCCTCCTCCCTCCTCCTCCAGCGGAAGCCAGCCTCCGTGGCGGCCCGCGTGGATCTCTCTTGCTTTGACCTCGCTGCCACGCTGTGGCCTCCTCTTCCTCCCTCCTCCTCGGCCCCTCCCCCCGCCTCGTCCTTGGGCCCTCGGCGCACGGCTCGCGCTCCTCAGGCGTAGCCGGCCCCCCCCCCCTCCCTCCTCCCTGACTCCTCCCTCCATCGTCCGAGCTTTCCATGCGCTGGGGGGTCTCTAGCGCCGACCTATGGCCCTCCTCTCCTCGCCCGCCCGGGGACCACATCCTCGGACTCCCATGGCAGGTGGAGCACGCGCAGGGCCGTCGAGACCCCACGGGACGGGACTCGCCAGCCCTTCCCTTCCCCCCCCCCCTGCCCGCAGGTCCGCCAGCGCTCGCCTCCTGAGGCACTAGCCAAGCCTCCTTCCTCCTCCCTGCTCCCTCCTCCCTCCTCCTCCTCCTCCTCCTCCTCCTCCTCATTCTCCCTCCTTCCTTCCCTCCCTCCCTCCCTCCCTCCCTCCCTCGTCCCTTCCTCCCTCCTCTCTTATCTTTCCTTCCACCCTCCCTCCCTCCCTCCTCCCGCCCTTCCTTCTGGGCCCCTCCCCCCGCCTTGTCGTTAGGCCTCCGGCGCACGGCGCGATCTCAGGCACAGCCAGGTCCCGAGGCTCCTCCCCTCGGAGGGGTGCCGCCGCCTCGCGGAGGAAAGCTCGGAGCGCCGCGCCTCGCCTGCGGCGCGCGCTCGCGCTCGCGCGCGAGGAAGTCCCGGTATAGAGAGCGCCGCTCCCGAGTTCGGGGGGCCTCCAGGGCGTCTCAGAGTGACCTGCGAGGACGCATTGCGCCCCTGCCCCCGGTCCTGCCCCGCCCCCGCTCCTACCCCCCCGTCTCCAGATTGCAAGTCGGGGGGGGGGGGCGGAATCCTTTCCCGTAGACGGGCCAACCGCTAACGTTTTTTTTTTTTTTTTTTTTTTTTTTTTTTTTTTTTTTTTGTTTTTTTCCGTAGCGGCGCGGTAGACTTCGGCATTGTAGTTGGGGCTGGTCCGTGGCCAGACCAGTTGCAGGATCAGCGCGGCTCGAGTTGTCCTACGCTTCGCTGTGTCGTTTTTGTTTGGCACATGAGCGCGTCCAAAATGTCGGAGCGCGTGGTTGGTGGTTTCATGCACTTGTTTCTGTGCGCGCTTGGTGTCACGATCCTACCACGCCTGTTGATTTCCAAGGCCGTTGGCCCAGTCTCGGACCCCCGCCCCCGCCCCCGTCCCTTCCCCCCCCCCGTCTCCAGAGTGAAAAGAGTGGGGGGTCGGCATCCCCCATCCACCATCCACTAGAGGCCTAAAGTCTGGGGGGGGGGTTGAACTCCGCCCCCTCGCCCCCCAACCGGCGCGGGCACACGACGCCAGCCCACGACGACCGCGACGGCGGCCACGACGACCATGCTGCTAGCATGTGATCCAACAAGCTGCTTTGATTCTGACTTGTTTCTCCCTTTCCCCCTCGCCCTCCCGCGAAGTCTGTGAGCCAACCCCCTTCTGGGGGGCTTCTTTTCGTGCCGGCTCCTGGGAGAAGCATTCCGCAGTGCCTCTGTGTGCGCACGGCGCCGATTTGGCCGTCATGGGAGCCAGCGTGCCCGCGGGCAACTCGGAAGAGGACGTCCCTAGTCTCGGAAGAGGACGTCCCTAGGTGAGCGGAGTCCCTACCTGAGTGAAGTCTCCTACTCGGAAGGGGAGGTCCCTAGTGGAGTGAAGACCCTATCTGAGTGAAGTCTCCTACTCGGAAGGGGATGTCCCTAGTTGAGTGAAGTCCCTACCTGAGTGAAGTCTCCTACTCGGAAGGGGAAGTCCCTAGTTGAGTGAAGTGCGAGGGAGCCTCGGTAGAGAGCGCCGTTCTGGAGTTCAGGGGCTTCCAGGGCGTCTCAGAGTAAACTATGAGGACGTATCGAGTGGGAGCCGTTGTCGCCTCAGCCGGGCCTTCACAACATTCAATGGGTTGCAAGGACGTCTCGAGCGAGAGCGCCATTCCTGAGCCTGATAACGCATATGACCAGGGCGCACGCAAGTAAATTAGGAGGAAGTATCAAGCGGGAACCATTGTCGTCGCAGTTGCGCCTTCATCGACTTGGGTGAATTGCGAGGAAGTCTCGGGCGAGAGCTCCGTTCCTGAGTTAGGGAACCTCTCTGTCCAGGGCGTCTCGAACGAATTTCTAAGGAATTACTGAGCGGGAGCCTTTGTCTTCGCAGCTTGGCCTGCAGCAATTTGGGTGGATAGCGAGGCAGTCTCGAGCGAGAGCGCCAATCCTGAGTTAAGGAGCCTCTCTGGCCAGGGCGTGCCAGAGTAAATCATGAGGACGTATCGAACGGGTGCCGTTGTCGTCACAGTTGGGCCTTCACAGGCCAGATGTGGAATCAAACCCGCGCTCAAGCGGCAGCCTCGTTTTCATAGCAGGTGTAGCCAGCGTCGAGGTGCGAGCGCCCAGAACCGTTCCTTTATAGGAGCAGTCTTTCTTGTCTAGAAAGAGTATTCGATGACGCGTCCCGCCCGTCCGACCGACTCGCCCACGACGACGTCGACGATGCGTCCCGCCCGCCCGCCCGATCGACGGATTCGCCCACGACGGCGAGGGCGACGGCAACGGTGATGGCGACTGCGACGACGCCCGCCGCCAGCAACGGACTATTGGAGGGGGGTGGGTGGGAATGGGGTGAGGTTACCGTCGAGAAGGGGGTCGGGGGGGGGAGGGGCGGTTCTGGATAGGAGGAGTGAGATCTCCGTGACAGGGGTGGGGTGCGGGGTTTGGTTCCGGAGCGGGGGAGGTTCGGATTTTGCAGTGGTGAAGCGTGCGCAGAAGACGCGCTCTCGGACCTCTCGTCCTGGGTCCCGAACGCGGCCCCTGGATGCAGACACCGCCCGCTGTAGTTTCTTCATGTCGTAGGTCTGTATCTTCGGACGTCTCCAGAAGTCCCTGGGAGTTGCCCGACGTCCCCTGAGGCTTCTGGAGGACCAGAACGTCCAGAAACGTCAGGAAGCGTTGAACGCATTGACGAGCCTCGATCTTCTGGGTTTGGACCCTGGCCCTGCATCTTCGACCTGCAGTGCCGAGTGCAGTCGGCCAGTCCTGCTGGCCCTGCCCGACCAGTCCAGCCCGCAGTCCTCGTTCCTCGATGCGCCCTCGAGGCGCCCTCGAGACGCCCTCGAGGGGCAGCCGAGGGCCTCGAAGGAGCTTGCATGCGCGGTGCGTGGCAGTTTTGGCTCGAGGCAACGACCCGTCATCGAGCTCGCCACGTGCAGAGTGCGAGGGCTCCACGAGGACGTTCGAAAGCAATGTGCTTTCCCAGCGCCCTGGAGGCACGCTCCTCGGAGGAGTGCCAGCAGTGCGTCGTGCTGGTCGACCCGTACTCGACAGGTGCCATGCTGGCTCCAGAGATTGCCCGACGTGGCTTCGGCGTGATGGCCTTGTGGACAGGCGAAGTCGGAGAGAATCGCAATCACATCCCGAAGGCAGCCCAAGGGTTTCCAGAAAACTTCGTGGAAGAGCTGGAGGAGAGACACACTCTAGCAGAGACAGCCGAGGCTCTTTGCACAGCTGCAGGTGCGGTCGGTGCAGCTATCGTTGCTGTCATCTGCGGAGGTGAAACTGGGGTTAAGGTGGCCGATGCGTTGGCCGAACACATGGGCTTACGGGGCAACTCTACCCAGAATGGCATGGAGAACCGGCGCGACAAGAGTATTCAGCAGGAGACAGTTTCAAAGGCGGGACTCCGGTCAGTCCGGTCCGCATGTGGCAAGCATTAGGACGAAGTTGTAGAGTTTACTCGCACCGAAGCGTTCCCCATCATTGTCAAGCCTGTCGAGTCTGCGGGATCTGACGGTGTCAAACTTTGCCACACGCCAGAGGAGGCGCACAATCATTTCGACCTGTTGATGAGCTCGCAGCGGAAATGCGGCGCGCTGGGTGCGGCTGTCCTTCTGCAGGAGTTCCTCCGGGGCACGGAGTACATCGTGGACCACGTGTCTCGCGGCGGCGAGCACAAGACGACCCTGGTCTGGGTGTACGACCGACGGCCAGCGAACGGGGGTGATTTCGTTTGTTTTGGGCAGCAATGCGTGTCGGCCGATGAGCCCGTTGCCCAGCAGCTCATAGCTTACACAAGGGGGGTGCTCGATGCATTGAACGTCACCGACGGAGCGACGCATACAGAGGTCATGATGACCCCCACCGGTCCCTGCCTGGTGGAGGTGAACAGCAGGTGCCACGGAGCTGCTGGCTCTTGGATGCCCTTGGCACAGGCAATGACGGGCTACACGCAAGTGGGCGCCTGCGCGGATGCATTCCTGGACGCTGAAGCTTTCGACAGGCTGCCCGATGTGCCCCCCTCCCCGTTTCTTGCGGCAGGGCAGGTGGTGATGACGGTTTCCTTCCAGGAGGGCCACATTCAGGCAGTACCTGGCTTCGATCAGGTTCGCTCCTTAAGGTCCTTCGTCTCGCTCGAAGAGAACGTCCACGTGGGAGACCAGTTGGAGAAGACCGTCGACCTGTTTGGCATCACGGGCATGTGCGTGCTGGTGAACTCGAACGCGGAAATACTTAAGTCCGACGTAGCGGCCATTCGCGAGATGGAGGTGGAAGGCTCGTTCTTTCGATTAGCATGACCTTACGCTTCATGGAAGGACACGGTTACAGCGGTTGTCCGACAGTCGTTGCCACGCGTCCTCAGTGGACGTCGTGACCTGAATTGAGCTGGACACGATTACAGTGGTTGTTCAGCAGTCGTTGATCCGTGTCCTCAGTGGACGCCGTGTACGGAGCATTGGCACCGTCACCAAGAATGCGTGCCGCCTTGCTGCTGTGCTTACTTGGTTTGAATGGGGCAGCACGAGCATGCCTTTCTGAGCGCGTCGCCCCATGCCGTCAGCACAGACCTGCGTGCGTTGGCTCCGGAAGCGAAGAATCGTACATGTGTGGGGCAACCTTGTGCGACGAGCCAGGTGTGCGAGCCGTATTTCCTCACAGGCCCCCGTGGGGCGCCTTCGACGGGCCTCTGGCGGCCTCGAGATGCCCTCGCAGCGCCCTCGCAGGCCCCCCCGAAGGGCCCGCCGCCGCGACGGCCGCGTGCGTCGCGCCGCGCTCACGGCGCCCGCCGAGGGCAGCCCGACGCCGCGCGCGCGCAGCAGGTCGCCGCGCACCTCGGGCGCCTGCACAAGCTGTCAGGCGGCCGCTGGGGTCGTCGTCGCCGCCGCCGCCGCAGCAGCCGCTGCCGTCTCGCGACGTGTCACCAGAGCTCCCTCCTGTGCCCATTCGGCGTCTGAGCTACTTCCGACCGCTGCACGGACCCAGGATCCCGCCCGTTCGGCGGCTGAACGGGCTCAGATCCCACCGCCGTACCAGGCTCGACCGAACGGGCTCAGACGCCGAGTTGTCTCGGTTGGGAACGCTGCAGGGCTCTGGGGATCTCTGCTTGTTTCTGGCTGCCTCCAGCGGCTCCTAGAGATCATCGGCGATCCCAGAAGACCTCTAGAGACCGCTGGCCACCGCCGCCGAGGCCGAGGCCGTCGTCGTCGTCGTCGTCGTCGTCGTCGTCGTCGTCGTCGTCCTTTTCGTCGTCGTCGTCGCCGTCGTCGTCCTTGTCGTCGTTGTCGTCGTCGTCGTCGCCGTGGTCGTCGTCCTTGTCATTCTTGTCGTCGTCGTCGTTGTCGTCGTTGTTGTTGCTGTTGTTGTTGTTGTTGTTGTTGTTGTGGTTGTTGTGGTTGTTGTTGTTGTTGTTGTTGTTGTTGTTGTTGTTGTTGTTGTTGTTGTTGTTGTTGTTGTTGTTGTTTTCATCGTCATTGTCGTCGTCGTTTTCGTCGTCATCAACGTCGTCGTCCTCGTCGTCGTCGTCGTGGTGGTGGTGGTGGTCGTCGTCGTCCTTGTCGTGGTCGTGGTCGTCGTCGTGGTCGTGGTCGTCGTCCTTGTCCTTGCGTCCCGCCTTCCTCCTTTCTCCCCCCTCTCGATTGGATGGCCTCGGCCTGTGTTGCCCGGCTTCCCCGTCGGCAGTGGGCCCGATCTTGCCCTGGCCTTCTGCCGCCTGGCCTGCCAGAGGGCAGAATTGGATTGTGCCTGCTGGCGTCACGTGAACGTGAGGGTGGCCCGCCTTTCTGCTCCTGGAGGAGGAGGAGGTCTAGGACGACGACGACGAGGACGTCGGAGGAGCTGAGGAACGAGAAGGAGATTTAGCAGCAGAGGAAGACGGATGGGGATGAACGGGAGGAGGAGGAGGAACTGGAGGAGGAGGAGGGGGGGGGCAGGGGGTGGGGCCAGGCCCCACCCTGCCTTTGGGGGAGGAGGGGGAGAGGGAGGGAGGAGCGAGCATGGGGGGAGGAGAAAAAAGGCGATGTCTAGCACTCCACGGTCCCGCCAAGCACACTAGGAGGAGGAAGAGGAGGAGGTCGATGTGGGTGATGATGAGGTGGGCGAGGAGAGCAAGGAGTTGGAGGAGGGGGAGGAGGAGAGCGAGTTGGATAAGGTGGAGGGGGTAGGAACATAGCGATGATGACGATGAAGATGATGATGATGCTGCTGGTGGTGGTGGTGGTGGTGGTAGTGTTGGTGGTGATGGTGATGGTGATGACGATGATGATGATGATGCTACTGATGATGGTGATGATGATGTTGATGTTGCTGTTGCTGTTGATGTTGTTGTTGTTGTTGTTGTTGTTGTTGTTGTTGTTGTTGTTGTTGTTGTTGTTGTTGTTGTTGTGCTTGTTGTTGTTGTTGATGATGGGGGTGATTATGATGATGAGGAGGACGATCAGAAGAGGGAGGAGGGTGGTGTAGTAGTAGTAGTAGTAGTAGTAGTAGTAGTAGTAGTAGTAGTAGTAGTAGTAGTCGTAGTCGTAGTCGTAGTCGTAGTCGTAGTCGTAGTCGTAGTCGTAGTCGTAGTAGTAGTAGTAGTAGTAGTAGTAGTAGTAGTAGTAGTAGTAGTAGTAGTAGTAGTAGTAGTAGTAGTAGTAGTAGTAGTAGTAGTAGTAGTAGTAGTAGTAGTAGTAGTAGTAGTAGTAGTAGTAGTAGTAGTAGTAGTAGTCGTAGTAGTCGTAGTAGTAGTAGTAGTAGTAGTAGTAGTAGTAGTAGTAGTAGTAGTAGTAGTAGTAGTAGTAGTAGTAGTAGTAGTTGTTGTTGTTGTTGTTGTTGTTGATGATGTTGTTATTGTTGAAGACGATGATGCTGATGCTTGCGATACTGAGGTCGAGGAGAGCAAGGACGAGCGCGAGGAGGAGGAGGAGGAGGAAGAGGGGGAGGAGGAGAAGGCCGGCCTTGAAGCTTGCAGGTTCCAGGGGCGCCTTGAGACCCATCTGTGCTGGCCCCATGCAGACGTGTCCCCGATCATCTCCTGCACGCACACGAGCTGGCACCGGGCGTCCGGAGAGTTTGGCTCACCTCTTTCGATGACCCAGCCTTTCAACAGCAGCAGGGCCAGTGGGCCAGAACAGCCTGCTGAGTTCCCGTGGGTCCCCCCGATGCTGAGTTCCCGTGTGTACCCCCGAGGTCATCCGTGGTCTTGCGATGCCCCCTGGAACCCTTCGAGGTCTCCCGAGAGGCCCAAAACCCGCACAATGACCTTGGGGCACCCGGCTCTGTATCTCTTGGACGAGGATCTCTTGACTCGGCTACGTGCAAGAATGACCCTTCGCTGGAGTGACCTTTGGGTGAGGGCCCACAGGGGTTCCCCCAGGACCTGTTCACGCACTTGGATTTGGCCCCCAGCGGCCCCCTAAAGCCAGGCACCGAAGGTCTTTCTTATCTAGGGTCATTTGCGTGTAGCCGATTTGCGGGGCCAGTTTTTCGACGCGGGTCAGCTTTGGATGGGCCAAGGATGCGAAACGAGCCTCCGTAGGCCCAGATCATGGAGCAGCCGCCCGCCGTGAGTCTCTCGCGACGGTGGGAGGTCCAGATCCTGCAGCCTTCTGCTGGCCTCCGCCCAGCGTCAGCGCCAGCGGCCTCCTCAAGATTTGTCCCTGGGCGCCTTCCTGGGTGCGTTTTGCCTGCCAACTCGACGGGCGACGAAAGGCCCCGCAAAGCGCGAACAACATCGACATCCCCCCTCCTCGACCTTGACGGTGGTATCTTCGAGTCTCGATGTGCTACTTTTTGTTGACCCTCTTACCTTCTGTATCTATACATACATACGCATGTTTCGCTTGTTTTCTCTCTCTCTCTCTCTCTCTCTCTCTCTCTCTCCCTCTATATATGTACATGGGTATGCTGCTTTTTGTGTTGCTCTCTCTCTCTCTCTCTCCTTCTCCCCCGATTTCCTTGGTTGAAGGAGTTCGTATGCGCATCGCTTGTGCTTACTGTTCTCTCTCCTTATGTCTCTCTTTGTGGCTGTTCATCAATTTTTGTATTTACGCACGGCTATATTTATCTATTTGTTTTGCTCCTCCCTGATATCCTCTACTTGCCTCGGTCCCTCTCGCCTCTCTCGCTCTGTCTTGCGGTAGACGGAGGGACAGAGTGGTTTGTCATGGTAAAGAGTGGTGCTGGGAGGGGGGAGCTGCGGGAGGTAGACGGGGAGTAGGTGGTGGCGGGTGGCGGTGGGACATGGATTTGTGCTGGGCGGTGGGAGTGGGGGGAGCGAGAGAGAAAGAGAGAGAGAAAGAGAGAGAGCGAGAGAGAGGTACACGAAGTGTGTGTGTATATTCATATATGTATGTATATGCATATGTATGTCTACGTATACGCATACGTGTCGATGTACGTGGAGAGAGAGATGCCATATATACATATATATGTATATGTATATACATATATAGAAAGAGAGAGGCACTCACAACAAACCAGCGAGAGCGAGAGAGAGAGAGCGGCATGAGGCGAGGCTATAAACAGAGAACATAAGGAAAGAGGCATCCAGGGAAACTCGTTACGAGTGTGAGAGAGCCAGAGAGAGAGAGGGAGAGAGGGAGAGTGAGAGAGAGGGAGGGAACACGAGACATGTATATATATAGATATATACATACATACATATATGTTTATATACATATATATATGTATACATGGTAGCCCCCCTGCTAAGAGCTACCCACAAGCTTAGTTCTCTCGGTCGGCACTGATGCCACCAGCTGTGTTTCATCACTCACCTCAATGGCCCTGGTGGTTGTTGTCATTGCGATGATAGTTCTCTTGACGACAAAATGTGCACGTGCGATACTGCTTGTGCTGGAGATGACGACGGGTGCTACAGCGGGCGCTTCGTCTGCTTGTGGTGATGCCATGGGAACTGTATATCTGACAGTCACGACGATCATGTGCGATCTGTTGTTTTTCTAATGCTCGCGTCGTGGATGCTGACGATTTTTCAGGCTGTGGCGCTGTTTACTTCTAAAGACAACAAGCTCCCATCACTGCGACTTGATCGCTCAAACGCATTCCCCCTCAAGAATGTAAACAGCAATCAGAAACGGATCACGTGCGCCACGAATCATGACCGAGCTCATGTCGGATCGGTCAAGGATCCGAATATGTTTTCAAAGGGGTTGTACAGATGTGTGCTCTATTTCGGCTTCTTGGCAAACCTATCGACTGCGCCGAAAACCGATGAAGCAGACGTTAGAGTTTCCATTTGCCCCTGGCCACAAAACGCAGAATTGCATGTGAGCTGTTGTAGAATTTCCACCCGGGAGAAAACAACATCTTTAAGCGAAGCGGATCAGGACCTCTTCAAAAAGGCCAGCAGGCGTATATGACCCCCCTGACAGCTGAACCCCCCAGCACGCTCAAGTTAATATGTTCGCTTTCTTAATGGCCGACACCCCGAGACCATATGCAACGACGCACGCACGTGATTTCATCATTTTTGGTAACATCCACTAAGCAGCTGCAATGGAGTGCTTCCGCCGTAGCTGACATTCTTCAAAAAAACAAAGCCGAAACAGTTTTTTGCCCTTTACGTTTCTCATGGCAAACACTTCGCGCCCAACATCAACGTACAAACACACATAATTCCTTCCTTTTTTGGCGACGGCAATGAAAACAAAGACCCTCGAAGGGTACGTCCACCGGGGGTCACGTGGCGGGGATTTCAAAATAATTCTCTTTGTAG